CACACAGGAAGATTATTGGTGGCACACAACCTCCAACCTCGGAAAACAATAAACTTTAATGTAAATAACTCGCTGCTAAAAACATGCCAAAAGTTTATAAAATAGTGTTTGCAGTAACCACTAAGATAAGTTTGAGATGGCAACCATTAGCTTTACCCTGAAATAAACTGGATTTATTCCAAATTAAGAACATAGGAATAATCTACAGCAGGTAAGACACTCCATGTTTAAGCTTTTTAAATGTTCATATTCCTTTGATACATCATAACAACCTCTACAAAGGTGGAGTATTTCTATAAATGGCTCGTGTGTAAGCTGCTAAAATGTTTACCTATTGAGGATTTGAGAAGCAGACACAAGAAAGTCCAAGGAATTAGAGCTCTTAAGCTAACCACACCAGGAATTGTAAATAAGAGTTTGATTAAATAATCTTGTTAACGTTAGTGTAGTGTGGATTTTTTTCTTTGTCCTCAGTTCAGATCATTAAAAGATGCCAGGATAAGGATTTTATTTCAAAAGCAAATGATTAAATCTTAAAGTTTAGAAAATCTATACAATAAATCTTCTGCATGTATACAAATAGATTTAGCTTAATGTCAGCAAAGGAAGTAGGTGAGTATCTCAACTACTGCAGTCAGAAAGAGTTTAATCTTTTGTTGTCAAGTTGTACAATTCCTGAACAAACAGATATTCATGCTGAACAATAGCTGGGAGCAAAGACTCCCAACAGCTGTGTTTTCATCGTGAATCAGCAACTTTTACTGAATATGCATAAATAATATTAACATGAGTGAAATATTCAAAGGAAAGTACTGAAAGATTTTATTTGAAATAAAAAATACACTGCTTGCAGCTGAAGGGATGTAGACACCATTCATATCTCAGTAATGCTCACCATTCTAAAATAATTTCACCTTTATTTGAGCCTGAACTCACTTTGCATTCTTGCATGCGCCACATCCATGTAATTTCCTGTTCCCTGTAATGTTTCACTCTGGCCATAGTAATCTGTTGCAGAGAGTGTGTTTGCATGGGCCTTGTTAGCTTGCAGCTGGCGGCCGGGTCGGGTCACAGTGAGTCAGATGGAAGGTGTTGGGTATCTTGTCTGTAGCTGCTAAACCAGAAGACATGGCAAACATGACACCTGCCTTTCAAACCATCTCTGACCTCATACACACACTTTTATATTGCTCAATCACAACTAAAATACACCCTTTTTTATCTCTATTATTTAATTTATGCATGTGGATCCTCTTCTGATTTGAACAGCACCTCACTACTGGGATAAAGGGTGTGGAATTCAGTATTCTCATATTAAGGCTGCGTATCTTGATTTTGCCGTTGCGTAACCATCTTCTTGTAGTCCTTGTTAATATTTAGGAGTCAACTAAATGTCTGGGAATGAAAGGTTAATGCAAAAAGTGCCTCAAAGCTGCCAGATAAATTTTAGCTAGAGCATTCAAAAACTAGGTCAAGTCATAAGCTTCACTTTCAGGATCCAGTCTGCTGAGATAAGTGAATCTTTATCTTTTAATGTAGTGTGAGATTAACAGTGCTATTATTGGGATGTTGCTGAAATATTTCCATCTTGCATCGATTCTGTTGCAGCAGCACACATGCAGTAGACATGGAGCCATGGCAATGATTCCTCCTATGACACTCAAACAAACAGCAGTGCTTAACACACACACTGTAATGTATGGTGGAGGCTCTGTGGTACTGTGGGACCGTTTTCTCTTCCAAAGGCATCATATTTCAGTTTTCAGTGATTATTCTTGGGAATAAAGAAGAAGAAACGATCAAGTCAGCACAGATTAACAACTGCAACTTTTTCAAAACAGGAAAAATCATTGTAGTCGAAATGAGGCTGTGGTCATGCTTCTGCTCAATGTCTCTTACATGAACGTGACTGATTTTGCATCACTCTCTAAATCCGGAAGTAAAAACGTTTCCTTTTTTGCAAAGCAGCAGACTGCAAAAAGCAACAGAGTTTCTCAACACCTCTCACTGTACATCAGTGACCCAGTGCCCTTAGCACAACACACCTATAAAACTATCCATAAAGCACTTCCAAAGTGTGCATGGCTGCACTTTTTCTGAGTTACAGGCCATGGCGGGGCCTTTACAGAGGCTTGTCAAGGCAGAACAACAGAGGCTGTATTAAAGGACTCCTGGTGCCGAGGGGTTATTTAACCCCCGGGAATTCAAGCATTTGTGTGTGGAGAGGCTGCATGTGGAGAGCACACTTGTAGTTGAGGAATTCATGTATTGTTGAGACGTTTTAACGCTTCCTGGCTCTTGACCTTTAACATTTTGGCTTCCTTTGTGCAAAGTTTCCAACTAATGAACAATCCTGAAATAATCTGACATGCATTTGTATTGCTAGTTAATTGCAGACTTGAGCAGTATGTGGGAGTTTCTTTCCACAATGCAGAAGTCTTTTTTCTTTTGCTCAATTTAGTGCTTTAGTGTTGAAGTTTTTTGCTGTAAAGTTAGATTTTTTGTGGGGGAATACAGCTTTACATTTGACTATTTTGAGGTTCTTTCACATCTTAAAGTTTTGTGTGTAGAAGAAATTATATTTTTGTTCTTCTGCCTCTAAAGTGTCTTCCTCTTTAAAATGTGGATCAAGATATGAGTTTAAGGTCGGACATTCTGGTTTTATTGACCACCTTTGCTTGTACAATGTGACATTTTTAGCAGCATTCAGCTTATCTTTAACACGTATCACCATAACCATAAAGATAACCTGCAAGCAGACAGAAATGTTTTAACTTTTGGTTTTAATTACTTCCTTAACTTTTCAAGTGCTGGTGTTCATGTCACAACTGACGTCCCTATACAGTATGTGATGCATAGTGTTTATTTGCATGGTGACTTTACCCATTTTGCATGAGCAAAAACAAAGTACAATTTTTCAAATGCTGCGTTTAATATTATACAATTATTACAAATAAGCTGGAGGGTGTCTGTTAATCCATGCGAGTGTGGCTGAGTTCTCCGTAGTGCAAACTTTTTTGGAGGAAAACAGTTGGAGACAGACTTGGAAAGTGTAACATATTCTATTGTACTGTAAAATGAGCTATACACATAAATTATGAGTGCTGTAAGAACCAACAGCTCTTAGCAGTCAATATTAGCAAGATTATCGGAGCAGTATCATGCTTTCCATGTTTATGGATTGATAAAATCCATAAACTTCTGTTTCTTTTTAACAATGAAGAGTGAGTTAAAAAGCAGAACTTCCTGGTCGCCAGTGCCGTAAGGACTAATAGTTTATCATGGTTACGGTTCTCAGAAAGCATGAAGACTATAATTAATATCAGATTGCACAAACAAATGGGTTACTCTTTTCTTGAGATCGCTGTATTATTCTCGAAACTGGAGACCTGACATGCATGACTGCTCGTTTGCACAGGTTACAGTACGAGCTCTTTTATTCTTGCCCGTGATTTATGCTGCAAATAATGTTGCTTAATATGTTCAAGCAATGGAATGTGATTTTCTGAATGAAGTCCATAGAGCAGGCTGTTAGCAAGAGACTGCATTGTGTTACTGAAGCTATAAAGGCTCTGCTGATTGGGCACAGGTAATGACACAGTCCATTAAAAATGCTTATAGCTGAAGTACACCAGCTCTACAGGCTCAGGTCCAAACAAGATGCTGGAAAAACTTTCCAATGTGGCACAAAATAAAATAAAAAAATACTTTCTCCACAGTGAAACCCTTATTGCCAATAATTTCAAAAGCTTGACAGCAGTGTTTGTCACCAAGTGTTAGGATCTGTGTTTTCTGTGTAGTTTTTCTGTGTTAGTCCAGTTTCCCCTGTGAATCTGTCTTCCCTGTTGATTGCTCCCAGCTGTATCCCGTTCTCTGATTACCTTTCCTGTGTATTTAACCCCACCTGTTGTCTTTGTCTGTGTCGGATCCTCGTCGTGTCTCACGTCTGTGTCGGTTCCTGTGCTGCCAGTGATTTTCTGTTGTTCCTCCTGGTTTATCATTAAATTATCTCTTATCATGACTACCTGGGATTCCCGGCGTCTCTCTCACCGCTCTCCTCAACCACACATCATGACACCAAGAAGGGCACAACCAGTTAGGTTGCTTTTACACATAGGGTCACACTACTTTGAGTAATTTACCATTTAAGTTTTACCTATTTTTACTGGGGTGTCTGAGTTTTGTACCCGAGTCGTTCACAAGTCTGTGTTGCTCAAAAATTAAAGTAGAGCAGAACCAAAACCAACTTTAATGTCTCCCAAATTATGAAAAAGCATTAGTTTTTTGTTTGTGTTTTGTTTTTTTTGTTTTTTTCAAATACACTAGCTAAGCTTCAGCTCCCTGAAACTTATTGTACGTATCTTTGTTTATTTGAGCTATATTTTGTAGTGCTAAGCAAGCAATAGGCAGAAGTTGAAGCATTAAGACCCTGAACCTCCTCATTTGCATAATGAGCCAGAAATGCATACAGTAAAATAAAAATGGGTGACAAAAAATGTCAAAAGAACAAATGGAAATAAAAAACACTTGTGTTGAAAAATATATGAAAGTTTTAAAATAGAGAAAAAATATACATTTTAATAACAGTAGAATTTATATTGTGTACTTTAATATATAATTTGTTAGAACTAAGCTGAAAAAATGTGGTAAATTAAATTAAAAACATGAGGCATATTTCTCTTTTTTTAATTAATTGGTAGTTTTAAGTGTACTGATTAATTTATTGAACCCTTAATATATTTCTGCTTTTGTTTTTAATCATGTCACTTTCGGTCCTCCATACAAACGCACTGTAGCGAATCGGGAAGCCTTTGCTCACTCCTTTTTGTTTATTATGTCACAAAAGACGCCTTTTATGCGTTTTGCTTCAATTTTATCCCACTCCTGCCTGATTACACACAGAATAGGAAGGAGGATTCATATTAACAAGTAACATAGAGGAAAAGTATTCCCTTGTCAAGTTGCTGCGCAGGTTGCGGAAGCAACAAAGACTAGAGACAAAGTCGTCATCAAGGGCGGCATCTCTGAAGTTTTGAAACAATGAGAGGGTAGGGGGAAAAAAGAGCACTCAATACCCATGATGCCGCGCGGTTCATTTTGTAACCTGTTTATATTGCCGGTCTTTCGAATGGACTCTTAAACACACAGTCAAGAGTGTAAATTTGGTTCCTAGTCGCTGCTGAAGCCCATTCCCGGAATAGACCATTTCAGCGCGCACGTGGGGGGGCTGGCCGAGGTGTGGAGAACCACCGGAAACGCAGAGGTAGGCGCTGTCATGTCCAGTTGTCTACATTTTGTCGTTTCATACCGCTTCCAGAGCGAAAACTACCGTGGAGGCTCTGCTGTCTATAGCGTGAGGCGGGATTTGGAGGAGCATCCCGAGCCTTAAACACGCCTCTGCTGCTCAGTCATGCACCGACACCTTTACAGGACGTGTATTACTTATGATTTCATACTGTAGAGGTGGCAGGACCCTCGAATAACGCTCACAACCTCATTATTGTGTGTATTTGAGCGGATAGTGACATTGGCGTTATGAAAGGTGGTTTGGACTTGTTACATCAGCGTTATTTGATCACATGGTTCGTAACGGAGCGACGACGATGAAAAACGAACTGAGGTCACCGGAATATATGAGGAAGTTGCGCAAAAATCAGATTCTCAGTGCAGCATCCTTCAACAAACACTTGACACTACAGATAAAAAGTGCCACAAGCAGTTTGAGAGGCTTTACATCAAATAAAGTGTCAAAAGAATGAAGGGCCCTTCAACTTCTTCACATTTTATGTTAGACACGTAGCAAAACGTGGTTCTGTTACAAAGAAAGCTGTTGAAAGAAAATTATAAGTAACATTTGCAGTTTGTCAGCAGTGATGTAAGGGAAGAAAAACGTGCAATAAAAGCTTAAACTTTTGCGCCTTTGTTAAAAAAAAGTGAGTAAAAGCAAACATAACAGTAAAAACGTAGCGGTAGCATCATTCTGTGGGGATTCTCTTCAGAGAAGCTGGTTAAAGTTAATAGGAAGGTTGATGGAGCTAAATATAAGAAGCTAAAAATCTGTGATTATATTTAACTGATATGTCAAAATAATCTGTGAGAAGCACTCTTTTATGATTTACAGTGAATATAGCAGTTACTACAACCTTAAACATAGTGCCAGCTGCAATGGTGTGGTTTAGATCCAGGCATGTCCATTTAATAAAATGGCCTAGTCAAAGTCCTATAGGTGTAATTCCAATTGAAAATCTGTCAATACTTGAACATTGATTTGACTGAGCTCTTTTGCCCAGAAGAATTGGCAAATATCTTAGTTTCCAAACGTCCAAAACTGCTTCTACAAAAGTATTGACTCACAGGGGACTGAATACAAATGCGCACCACACTTTCCAGATTCTTATGTGTAAAAAAAACAACAACAAAAAAACAAAGTAAACCATGTACGCTTTTCCCTCCGCCTCTGGTCTGCTGTATAAAATCAGAATAAAATAAAGTAGAATTGTGAAAATGTGAAAAGGTTCAACAGAGTCTTGCCAATGATTATTTTGGCAAGATTCTGTAATCTAAAAATTGCAAATGGAAAACCGGCAAAAGATAACAATGGAAGCATTAATAATACTAATGTATCACAATAATAAACAGAAAGAGTCCCAAATATTATTAAAAAAATAGATTTTTTTCAAATTAGGATTAAAATATGAGTAAAATGCATAAGTAGAAGACTTTCTAAACAAAAATTAGCATTCTTAAGCATAATGCTTGAAACATTTCCATTTACAAAAGCAGCACTTATTCTTTGCGGTGCATGAGAAGTGGACAAATTTAGTCATTTGATGTCCTGCGGACGTCTGATAACGGACACACACCCACAGCAGTTGTCCTTGGGACTCACGCAGCTCAGATAAGAAAAGCAGCCGAACCAACAGTCAGACATCCTCCCAGCTTTTACTTTCTCTTGCTCAGCTGCTACAATGTGAGTTCTTCTGGCTCTTCTTGATCCTTTACGAGTCGAAATGTTTCTTCTGACTGCTTCACCTGCAAGATGTGCTCGTCTCCTGCTTATTTGTCTTGTTTTCTTCCCGCCTCAGGGGTGTGTGTGTGTCCCTGCCAGATCCGGTGATGGCCGACCAGCCTCTCTCCCAGCCGGCCGACCAGCCGCTGACAAAGTTCCCCCACGCCGGCCTCCCCAGGAGGAAAGGAGACGGCCTGCAGGCCCGAGGCCAGTGGGCCAGCAAGGCCGAATTCCTCCTGGCGGTGGCCGGGCAAATCATCGGGCTGGGCAACGTCTGGAGGTTTCCCTACCTCTGCTATAAAAATGGAGGAGGTGAAGAGAAAAACGATTTTATTTTTTTTTTTTTGTTTTTGCATTTTCCGTTTTTGTTGTTGTTGTTTTGCAGATCTCTGTAACCTCTTGTTTGTGTGCAGGCGTTTTCTTTGTCCCCTACCTGCTGTTCCTGGTGCTGTGTGGCATCCCTCTGTTCCTCCTGGAGACCTCTCTGGGGCAGTTCACCAGCCTGGGAGGGGTCAGCGCCTGGAGGACCATTTGCCCCTTATTTGGAGGTGATCCTATTTTTAAGTCATCAGTACATGCATTAATGCATGTACTGTTTGTGTTTGGAATGAAAAGTGCTTTTTGCATGAATTACTGCATTAATGCGGCGTAGCATGGAGGCGATCAGTCAGGTTGCTTCAGTAACAGCTGTCAACTCATCTGCATTTATCTGTTTTGCTTTTGCATCTTTTCCCACCACACTTTTTCCTTCCACTAAGCTTTCAGTTAATGTGCTTAAATATAGCAATCTGTGTAACTTTTGTGCAGCAGTCTTACTAATACCAATTTTTTTATCTTTCTTTTTGGATTTGTTTGATATTCTACTATCCCGTCATTCAGGATATCAGCCCCTCTCAAGAGTGAAATCAAATAAATCCCTTTTAAGCTATTAAAGAGAAACTACCAGCTGTCTAAAATCTCATTTAACTGTTCCATGCATTTTATTTTGCTGCTGCAGCTTCTCTTCTTTTGGGTTATCGGCCCCTCAGAAGCTCTAGACGATATAAAACAAACTTATCTGAGCAGGAAATTGGGGGATAAAAAAATAAGTCCTCGGTTGTATGGGAACGTCTAGCTCCACTTTGCAAACACAGGAGAGGGAAGAGAGGATGATAACCTTGACTTTAGGCACAGATTTGGAAGAGTTCAAACACAGAGGTAACATTTTAGAACACTGGACCCTGTTTTTGTATGTCAGAGAAAAGACAAATACAAATGCATGCTGATCTTTCAGATTTTTATTTGTACAGAACATAATAAGCAAGCTATTTTGTTTTGGGTTATTGCTTAAAAATATATTTGTTTTGTCCTTTGTGTGCTTTTTGCACCTCGGAGAGAAAATTGAAAACTTTGCTTTGCCTTATGCCAACTCCCAGAACAAAGAGATTTGTTCTTGTCCGCGTGCGTTTCTCTCTGGTCCGCACTTTTCAGTAGCAGATTAAAGGACTGAATTTCATTAGCAGACTCAACAAACAAGCTCTTTATCCAGACAAAACAGCCTTCTGTCCGTAACCCACTCAAGATCATCAGATCCTTCATTCCTAATGAAGATACACGAGGTGTGGGCTGCAAGCCTGAAAGCTGCAGTAAAAAAAAAAAAAGACGCTTTCATCTCAAACCCAAGTGACTTGGAAGTGATGTAACCTTCTTGTCGTGTCCCTGCAGGTCTCGGCTACGCCAGCCAGGTGATGATCCTGCACGGCTGCGTCTACTACATTGTCATCCTGGCCTGGGCCCTCTTCTACCTGTTCTACAGCTTCCAGGCCGAGCTGCCTTGGTCGCACTGCAACAACACGTGGAACACGGGTCGGTGACGGCGTCGCAAGCTGCCGGTGAAGCGGTTTTGTAGAAATTTTAAAGGTGGACGTGTTGGTACTTTTTGCAGACGCGTGCTTCTTGTTCGATAAATACAACCAGACTGCCAACGTGAGCAGCCTGCTTGTGAATGCCACCTCACCGGTCATGGAGTTCTGGGAGTAAGTGTAGAAAAGCCGGCATGCTGTTTACAGGTATAGTCGGATTGATGTCATCCTCATGCGTGTGTGTGTGTGTGTGTGTGTGTTCCAGACGGGAAGTGCTCCGCCTCTCAGGATCTTTAGATGAGCTGGGTCCGGTCAGCTGGAAGCTGGCTCTGTGTCTGGCCGTCGTCTGGCTCGTCTGCTACTTTTGTGTCTGGAAGGGTGTGAAGTCCACCGGAAAGGTCAGCAGCAAACTGATAACATTGTTTTGCACTTACAGCTCTCATAAATACATTTATTCATTAAATGATTACACCGAAGTCGAAATGTAACGGAGTTAAAACCGAAAGGATTCACGGTTCATTACCCCGGTACAAACTGTTTGTTCATTTATCGGTCTCTTATGAAACAAAGTATATCCAGTTGAAACCAGATATTTATATCTTCTTTATAAAACAACACATGGTTCTTATTCTCACTAGCTGCACTTCCATTGACCATAAATTTGTTCATATTGGAGTAACGGAAAATAAATTTACCTAATCAAAACACGTCAACTATCGAAATCAGTGTAGTCCATAGAACTGCGATAGAAACACTTTTTCAAATAACAAAAGTGTTGCATCCCTGAGGAAAATGTGAGACCATCCAAAAACAGAAACACTGAAGCAAAAGGCAGCCTGGAAACATAACAATGACTCAAAATATAAGTCAATCTTCCAGGAAATGCCTGAGCCGTGACGAATGTTTTGTGGCGTCTTTTCGCTTTCCGTAAGCTGCTGGTTTTCTCTGCCAAGCCGGAACGCTCACATTTAGTCGGACACAATTACACCCAGTACCCCAATGCTCTCTAATTATTGGGTCAATCATCTTCTACTCCAATTAAGCCTGGGAACCAGCCTCCAAACCCCAACTCAGCCAGCGCATCATTTTCAGCACGCCTTGCTCAGGAGTCCTTTCAAAATGTTGTTTTGTTTTTGTCCTATTGAGTACTTTTATTTAATTTTCTGTACCTATTCCAGCTGAAGAAGTGAATAAAGACGGGTTTATGTAGCGTTTGCGTGTCTTTCAGGTGGTGTACCTGACGGCCACCTTCCCATATGTCATGCTGATTGTGCTGCTGGTGCGCGGCGCCACGCTGCCTGGAGCCACCCAGGGCATCATTTACTACCTCAAACCCAACATCACCCGCCTGGCTGACCCTCAGGTGCACAAACACCCCTCATATTGTACAGATTTATAAGAAATTGTATTTAATTCTATCCATTCATTCCCTCTTCTTCTTCTCTCTCTAGGTATGGATGGATGCTGGTACCCAGATATTTTTCTCTTATGGAATCTGCTTGGGAAGTCTCACAGCCTTGGGCAGCTACAACAAATACAACAATGACTGCTATAAGTGAGACTCACACACACACACACACACACACACACACACACACTGAAATGTAAGATGTTAGCTCCCACCGGTCAGATGGCTTCCAGAAGGAATGGCAGGAATGGGCAGAGAAAACACTCCGACACAGCCACACCTCAAAGAAAATCCCTCACTGCCATGTTTCCCACAGTCTCTCGTTCCCACACACACACACACACACACACACACACACACACACACTTTCAGCCCTGAGCGCCTCCACAGTCTCCACATCCATCTCTTGTTTTGCAAAACTGAATTTTTTCTGTGCTCAATCATGGGGCGTTGCATCATGTTCCTTGTTTGTTTCCAGGGACTCCTTCATGCTGTGCCTCCTGAACAGCAGCACCAGCTTCCTGGCCGGTTTCGCCATCTTCTCGGTTCTGGGCTTCATGGCTGAAGAGCAAGGCGTTGACATAGGCACTGTGGCTCAGTCAGGTGAACGCCGGCTTTCAGAGGCACAAAGTCTTTTAACACGTCGTCGTCTGATCCTTCTGAACTCTGAAGAAGCTCTGCGGACATTTTGCACAATTTGGTTTTGAATTTAAAACCAATTTAGCATCATCGTCTTATTTAGTTGAATCCAAATAGGCAGAATTAAGCAAAATGAACTCTTAAAAACTAATGCTTCTTTTTTTTTTTTTTTTACAATTAATAAGAATAACTAACACACTTCCTTCAAAGCATTCAGCAAAGTTAACCCTTTTTATTTGCTTGTTTTAGGGTTGTTGTTTTTTTTCTTTTTCTTTATACATAAAAAATAATAGTGCATCAAAGTCAATGTTTCTTACAATTATTTATACATTTAAGGGCTTAATAACAATAATCAAATGTTTTTATCGAAATTATTTTAGTATTTTATAGAATGTTGATAAAAAGCGGAGCTGTGTGACCGTACTCACACTTTAAGGATTAAAATCCCAAAAATATTACTTATATCAGTCAGTATTTAAGAATAGGTTTAGGAAGTTGACTTGTGCTGAAACTGAAAACAATAAATACATTTTTGGAGCATCATTTGCAAAACTGACATAATTTCCTAATGATTTCAAGTGTGATTTATTTACTTTCTGATGTTTAAGAAGACTGATGTGTTGCAAGTAGGAAGAAAATCTACATATACACAGCATTATAAACCTATTAATGGTCAAAATTGCAGCAGTAGTAATAAAAGCAGTTGTGTTAATGCCCTTCTATGGTGTGTTGTGACAGGACCCGGTCTTGCCTTCATCGCCTACCCGAGAGCCGTCGCCATGATGCCCGTTCCTCAGCTCTGGGCCGTCTGCTTCTTCCTCATGATCATCATGCTGGGTCTCGACACGCAGGTAGGCGCTCTCTTCTTTCGTATTGTAATGTGACGTCAGCGGAATGTGTATCTGTCAGCTCACACACACACGCAAACATTTTCCTCTCCCCTGGGATCCAGTTCGTGAGCCTGGAGGCTCTCATGACTTCGGTGACAGACCTGTACCCCCACGTGATCCGGCGTGGATACCGCAGAGAACTGCTGCTGCTGTTTGTGTGCGTCGTGTGCTTCCTGATTGGGCTGGTCATGGTCACACCGGTGAGTTTTATGCGACTGCGGTGTCACATGACCTCAATGAGTTTATTGAAATTCATTAATGATGACTCTGCAAAGTCATTTTCTATAAAAAGTCTGATTTCTGCAAAATAAGAGCTACAAAAACAAGACGCCCATGCTTTTTCTGAGTCGTTTTCTTCCATGACATGGAACTAAGGAGTCTTGCTGTTGTTTTTCTCTCTGTTCTCTCCATATGTTTCCGCCTCGGACAGGGTGGTCTCTATGTGTTCCAGATCTATGACCACTTCTCCTGCAGTGGAGCCAGCTTGCTGCTTCTCTCCATCTTCCAGTCTCTGGCCATTGGCTGGGTCTATGGTATGAATCCAGCTCTTCTGCATCAATTGTAACATTCAAGTCAGGGTAGAAATCGGTGACAGTATCAATGTTAGCTTTTTGCCCGACATTGTATGATGTAAAATTACCCCATGTCTCCCTGAACACAGCATTTTCATGGTGAAGCATGGTGCTGGCAGCATCATGGAGTGAGAGACAGGAAAACACTTAAACATACAGCCAGAGATGCAATGGAGTGCTGGTGTCCTAGTCAAAGTCCAGAGCAATCCAGACTTCTTTTATCTCTGGCAAAAGTTTGAAACATCTTCATTGTTTTCTGTTTCCGTTGAAGCTAATGCTAACTAGCTGCTAGCATACACTTGCTAGCTAGCTAGCATTTTGCATCTACCATGGGTAAGCTTAGATTTATTGCCAGATGACTGGATGACATTTGTCTTTGCCTCTGGCTCGTCTCTGTTGCCAACCCTTGGATGCTACGTTCATTATGTGCAAAAAATCTGAGCACTGCTTCTATTTAAAATATGCAAATTTTTTTGTAAATTTATGTCATGATGTAGACGTAAAATTTCCAAAAAGCCTCAAGTTTGAGTTGGTGAAACCTGCAGAAACTGAGTGTCTAAATGTGCAAAGCTGAAAACTTGCATCCAAAGTATTTATCCTACATGTGTACACCACACTTTTCAGGTTTTCATAATGTTGAAAATTGTATCATTTTCCTTCATCTGCTGTTTGTGTTGTTGTCCCTTAAAATCTCAGGGGTGTAAATACAGCTGCAGTGCTCTATAAATAAGGAGTCATTTATTTAATAACGTTTTTCTATACTGAGCTGTTTTCCCTCCTCCTCTTCATTTTTTTCTTATCTTATTTAATGCATCTATTCCTCTCTTATTTAACTTTTATAAATTTTCCCCCCTCCCAGTTAAATTTCTGTCAGAATTAGATTAAAATGCTTTCATTGATGAATGTGGTCGGCTCTGATAGAAGCTGTCCACCTCCCCTCCTCCTACATTCCACTTCCAGTCAGGAGTCGGTGTATTAATCTGGCTGCAGTCTTCTTCTGCTGTCAGGAGGCTGGCTCCTGGCCAGTTCCCCCGTTTGTCTGTGTCCTCCGGGCCCTAAATCTGCCCCTGGGCCCCTCTCAGGCTCAAGCCAGCGGCCCCAGGTAGCCTCTATCTCGGGCAGAAATTGGTCTCCTAAAGCAGCACGAGACGCCGTCGACATAAACGAGAGATTGGGGGGAAGTTGTATGTTCACAATTAGCTCAGCCAGGTTAATGTTCAGCATTTAACTTTACAGCTGTTGGAGGAAAGCGATGAATTGTTGTTGCGGGGGATCAGAAAAAAGCCGAATCGGTTCACGTTGTGTGTTTTTGTTTGGGTACGAAGCCAGACAGGTTTTATCGCTCTCCCAGCAGTTGAGTCGGCGGCTTTTGGGTAACACAGCGGTCAGGGCTCTCGGCTCGTTTACAGCTGTGGGAATCTACTGTTTTTAAGGACTCTACTTAACATATAGTCAAGGAGTGCATTGGTTTGAACAGGTGACACCAACTGCTGAATAAACTCTTTTTTTTTTCCTCATGTTTTTTTCTCGCTTTCTCTGCCTCCAAGTAAAAGACAGCAGAATCTAAACTCTTTTTGTTGTTACCGTGTTCTTGTTCATCAGGAGCCGAGCGTTTCAGTGGCAACATCAGAGATATGACGGGCTGCAGCCCCCTGCCTGTCTTCAAGCTGTGCTGGAAGTACCTGACTCCGGCCGTGTGCACTGTGAGTAACCTCTGCCTGTTGGCAAACCGGACCAAAAACCTCAGTCAGAACCTTGAAGGCCCACCAAAATGTCTGGACCTCTGTGTGGTAGACAAAAAAGGAAAAACTCTCTTTATGCAGAAAATTGTGATGAGGAGGCTGAAATAAGGTATGCAACAGCAACAATTTGTGGCTTATTTGTGGCTTGAGCAGAATTCCTCGTCTTTCTAATTTAATTTTTATAGATTTCCAGCCTGGAAAACTGTGGGAATGGAAAGCTTTGTGCATTACCAGACTCTATTTCCCATCTAACTGCGCAAAATATATACTTTTTCCATCTTTTAACCACTCCTCCTTATGTCCATCAGTCCAATCATCCATTCAAACATTTATCCATACAGAAATGGTTGACTGGATGAACCATCCAGTCAACCATTTCTCTGATCAAAACACTCCATTCTCAGTCTGTGTCCAAACATTCATCTAGTCGTAGGTTAGGTATTTAAAGTGTTGCCTCTCCAAAAATATCTTCAATAAATTCAGTCTTCTTTAGTATTTCTACTTAAAATGAGGAAATTAATTGAAATTTAAGTCTAGAAAACGTTTGAATTTGGACATTAACACCCTGCTTGAAGCCAGGTTGATCCGTTTCCATACGGTTCTCTGTTATCTGGACGGCCTCCACTGCATCGCAGATCAGTGCCAAGTTTACAACATTCCTCCAGTAGTTGCTGTCAGGGGAAAAAAAAAGCCATTATTCAAGGTAGTTGGGTGCAGCCTTGTAAAAATGGGAAAAATCCCGCCTGACTGCTGCCGTCTGTTGTGGAAGCGGCTGAGGAGCAGCGCTGCTTTGCATTCCAACGAAGGAATCCATCTGTTGTTGGAGGTTCGTCTGGAGAATGAGCGTGATCTCATTGTCCAACTGCATCATGGAAGGTTTTTTAGCACATTACCAAGGACAGGTACGGGCGTCCTTCAGCCCTTACTGAATGACTCCAATAAAAGTCTTTATTCCACTTTGAGCATGTTCCACAGTCTTTCTATGAGAGTCATACAGTTAACATCCTTTACCTTCCACATAACTGAATTGTTCTCTGACAATCCACAATGAACAAAGTTTAGTTGTTACATTGTTTTTCCCATTAGGTGTCTCCGCAGGCTGCAAGCTGAGCCAGACTTTAGAAAGTGCTTATAGGGGCAGTAGTCCAGGGCGTCAATTTGTTGAGGGGTGCCACAGATTTTTTTTTTTTAAACGAAAGCATATTTTTATGTCATCGTACTTTATATAAGTACAGTTCATACCTAATTAACTTCCCAGATGGTACTCTATCCACCATGAAGAGATGAAAACTAGCATTAGCTGTTAGCATAATGTTAAACCGTTTCAGCTGCAGGGCATATTTACGACATCTGTGATGTTTTTCACCAAATTACAAAAGTAATGCCTTTTTAAAACTTTTGTCAGCTGTTAGATGTAGCTTAGCATGCTAGCTTGACATTTATTGATTCTAACCAGAAAACAAAGCACAAGTTAAAGTGTTTGAGAAACTTTTTTTGTTTCCTCTCATGGGCATGGAATAGTTTGCATCAAGAAGCATCTAAAAAATGAAAAAATATCCACAGAATTTTTTTTTTGCTACACACAAGATCCACATATTGATGTTATTTGGTGTCATTTTACATTTTTAGTTCTTATCTTTTAACCCTTTCTTCAACAATTCATCAAAGAGTCTGTCCCTCCATCTTCTTTCAGGCTACCTTTATTTTCTCCCTGGTGCGTTGGTCTCCTCTGAGCCTGGGGAAAGGACTGGTGGCTCCGGTCTGGGCCATCACGCTCGGCTGGATCCTGACCCTCTCCTCGGTCTCCCTGCTCCCCATCTGGGCCGTGTACGCGCTGGCCACCACTCCAGGAACCCTGCCGCAGGTGACTTTTCTCGACGGCAACTCAAAGACAGGAAAGATGGGATTTGTATCTTTTCTAACTGGAACTTTTCCCAACTCCTTAGCGCTTCCATCGCCTTTGCACCCCAGCCGAGAAGTCGTCTATGGCCTTCCAGCACCTCTCCACCAACGGCTCGGCGCTGACCTACAGCCCCGTGCTGCCTCTCAGTGGGAAGCCGAAGCAGCAAATCGTAGAGCTCCTCCCAGAAAAGAAGACATGACGATAACGAACGCTTTGTGGCACTGTACGCTGCTCAGCCAATCAGGTGTGCCGAAAAAGAACAGCTGATCACAACGGAAGACTTTATTTCAAAAAACGTTAAAGGAGAAATGTTATAATTTACCAAAGAAACTCCGGAGTCAACAGTTTGGAAGAATTATCAGAGCGTCTGACCCTAAACTGGGATAAAACTTGATTGGCCGTTCAGATCAGCCACGGTTCCTGTTCATGCCCACCAGAGCTGGTCTTTTCCATACAAAAACAGCACACACTCCTGAATCTTAACCGTTTTTCTCTCCGTACTTGCTATCATACGTTTTCATCTAATTTTACAATTAGTACTTGAGGACCATGTAACAACAACAACAACCCCTAGAGACGTTCCCTTTGTTTGGCAGCAGCACACAGTCCTCAGCTACACTATACTCTCTATGAGAGACTCGGAGAGTGTTAGCATGTCTGCTGAAATGACTCCATGAGTCAGACATGTGATGTCAGATGATTTATCTGGAGATTTTTTGAATTTCTCATCCAAACCAAGTGGAGTCAATACTCGAGTTGCGTCCACTAAATGCCACTTTTGCTGCGAACACCTGAACAACAACAGATCTGACTGAAACGTGCACTAGTTTGCGTTAGTTTTGCGTTTGCAGTATTTCTTCAGAAACGGCATAGACGATCTTTTAGTGGGCGTCTCCAGAGTAAAAACTTCAGCACATTTGTTTCAACTGTTGTAAGCAATAATTAACAGAACATAAGCTGGGCAATGTAGTCATATTGATTAAAAATGAAAACAAGAGTTGCTGAAATGCTTTCCTGATTATTCGCTAGATTAAAATGAACAATTCGTCAAACAGGTCAACATGTCAAATTGAAAAGCCACTGAAAGGATATGTCGTAATAGAGTATGTCTTCTTTGAAGGTCTCTGCAAACCTCATTTAAATTAGTTTTTAAAAAACTACTGCTGCTTCAAAGAACAAAAAAAAACTATACAATATTTTTTAATGTCTGCACCAAATGTTTAAGTTTTTTTTGTTGTTAGGATTGGGTTTTTTTTTCTGTGTTTCAGTGATGTCAGGTAAATAAAGAGGCTTAAAATAGCAATTGTAAAGATGAAGTGGGCGAAGGGAAGGAGTAAAGTTACAGCTTGAACATGCCTATAATTATTAGCATTACATTTCCAAGTGAAGTTTGCACCGTTTACAATCCTCAAGATTAAACTTTAAAATGTTTTTTTATGGGATATTCTGTAGAGCTCTAGAGCTAAAATATCGGAAGAGATTTGGTTATTTTATTTTCACAGTTTTATGGTTTTTACAAAAATTTCAATTGAAATTTGAAAAAGAACAAAAAAAACAAATGTTCCGTACACAATGCAAAAATTGTAGCTAAGTTAATCTCAAGCCAGTCTCAAGAAATTTTATAGTTTTTTATCCTTTGTTGAAGTAATAATGAATGAAGAATAATGTTTTCCTGTTAAATTGCATTCATTTATGAATGCAATATATATGATTTCATTCTGAAAACGTACTATTGTGTTTTTTTTTTTTTTTTAACAAACACTCTTCTAACCCTTCAAAGTCAACATCAGCATAAGATTTTTTTATTATTATAAGTGGGAGTGTCTCTCAACAGTGTGACAAAAAAAATGAAACCATTAAAAATCATTTTAAAACTATCACACAAACTTCAAATTTATCCTGTCCAGTTTAACCGGCAAAACAAATCTGGTAAAGGGAAAATACAAAAACTAACATTTTTTCCACCAGGTTCCATAAGTGTGCACACTCTGAAAATATTTAAACTTTGCAGAAGCACCTTTTGATTCAGTTTCAGATTCCAAATATATCAAATTATGTGATTTATATCTGGACTCTGGTTCGGTTATTCCAAACTGCTAGTATGGTGTTTTTCTCTGGTGATGTGCTTGAGTTTTTTGTGCCAAACCTTACCTTTAGATTCATGCTTGAAACTTTGTTTGGTGTCATTTTGACCTTTTGCGATATTTCTGGAAACATTGAGTTTAGCTAAAAGGATGCAGATGTCAGAAACATCTTTTATACAACTCCTAGAACACAAAAGCTGCTTCAAGAAGGTCAAATTTATCCCCCGAGGCTATTTCAGCTTTTCATTTTTATATATATATGTTTCCCTTCATTAGATTTGTCCCCCTTTAACTGCTCAGGATATATAAACTATTATAAACTGAAAATGTTTGAAATACACAGAAATTCAACAGGGTTGTGTACACTTTTGAGAGACACCGTATGTGACAGAATGAGAACGTAAACATGAATTACTGAAACTATTTCATATTTCTGTTCTGTACTTTAATGTCTGCCCTGATACAAACAGCAAGTTGAGGTTTTTTCTTGTTGTCATTTCTCATCTAAACGTGTGTAGGTTTACACAGTCAGACATGCTTTAATAATTCATTATGGGTGATCAGATCAGCTTTCTGTACTGTAAGTCCGGGACAAAATGTACTGTACACTAGGATCGCTTGTTTACATCTCTGAAATCGAGTGGAGTAGAAGCACTTCATGACCAGATGTGATATTTTAAACATGTAAGAGGTCATGTAATCAAACTTAGAAAAAGCTGTTTTTATAACCAAATTTTTATGTGCGTTAAGCCTTTGCATCGACTCATCCACTTGTTATCATCTGTGTTTACAGCTGTGCCTCTTTTGTTCTCTTATGAATCAATATATACACTGATTATGGAGAAAAGGGTCCATTGTGTCTGTTTGTTTCCAGACGAGTGTCAAGCTGTGTTAAAAGTGGATGTGCTGGTGTTGAGGCATGATGTACTTGTGGTCCCAGTCACACCGTCACCACGTCGACAGATGTAAAAGATGCCCGGAGCGCACCTTGCAAACCGAGACTCCTCATACTGATGGGAATTGTTCATTTGGGCGTCCGCGACGGGATGGAGAGGAAACAGCGCGTGTGGGCAGAGGAAGCGGAGGGTGTCATGGAGACCAGAGACGAAGCGGAGGGCGGCAGCTTCAAGCCGACAGAGCCCGGTGGTTACATAAACGGCTCATCCTGTCAATTAGCCGTATTGGATTCCCTCTCTGCTCAGTCGCCGCCGAAGTGGGCCGGTCCCTGCGCGCACGTGGCTCGGCACGTTCACGCACACACACCTGACTTGTTTTGGTTTGCCACATCATAGTGCAGCCAGCTTCCCACGTGTGACTCTGGTGAATTTGTTTGTGTGTGTGTGGATAAACGGGGGTGGTTTACGTCCATATGGATGCCTTGGCATAGATACATCTCCCTTTTCAGATGATGGGAGGATTAGCGTGTGAGATTCAAAGAGGAGAGAGGCAGAGAGAACCAAAGCTGTGTGTTCTGTCAGTGGAGCTTTGAAAAGATGCTCTGGGATAGTCAATTTCTGCTCAAGCTCGGAGCCACTTAGTTTGCAGCTGCATCATTTTTCATCACAGCTTGAGAAGCAGAGCCTGCCTCCTTCCAGAGGTACGACAACTCCAGTGAGCTTAGGGGCATCTCACCACCTCAGATAGTGCACTTGGCAGTTTGGTGTAAAGGAGAAGCAGTCTGTGGGAGGGGGAGGGTTGTGGTTGAAAGAAAAAGGAGATGGGCAGTGGGGGTGGGAGATACATTGCATAACAGGAGGGTGATATGGGCACCAAGTTCAACTTGATATTGGATCCATCTTGGTGTCAGTCGTCAGGAGAAGAACAGCAAGAATTTTATAACATGGGGTCATGAACTGAAGTGCCTCCATCACTCCAGATCTCCATATGAAGTTCTTAGGGGAAGGTTCTAAAGGAAAAAAAGAGACTGGGCTGTGTTTTACAGAAAGTGGATTAATGAGGAGAGCCAAGACTTTTCCACCACCCTCCCACTCCCTTCTCCATCCACACTGCCCACGCTGCCAATCAGTCATCCAGAATGCTTCGGATTAAGAGCTTAGAGGACAGCCGACACGGCCTCCCACCCCTTGACGTAGCAAATTTGAAACGTAAGGTCACATATCAAATTCCACATCAAGTGATTGGTTGGGGAAGGATTGGGGGCTCATAATGGCCGGTTACCTCTGTTGAGGTAGCAGTCTGTAAGACGACCCTAATTATAGAGACGAGTGGGCTTTGCACACTTTCAGTATATTTGAAGTGTCTGTACTGCTCAAAAACTTTTGACATTTTCTCTTGCATGTCAAAGAAAACTTGTTTTATTGAAACTGTACCTTTTTAAAACTTGATATACCTTACTTGGGGTACTTTGATGTGTTCTTGTGTCTTGTGGAACAAGACCAAAAGAAAAGGTTCCTGAAAGAAGATATTTCTCTTTGGGTGGTTGAACCTTAAGGCCTTGGCATGCTCCTCTTTCTTTCCTCTTGCTCATTAGGGTTTGCTGAGAGTCTTGGAAGACCTTTGATACAAACAGTGATATTTGAGTCCCACATGCTTTGTGATTAAACAAACTGGGACGTATACATTATGCCTAACAAATGGGGAAGGAAGTTCCTTGAATGAAGCAACCAGAAACGCTGCCAATCCTGTTTTTAAAGAGTTGCTGAAGGTGCTTTGGGTATCTGGATATTCTTAGGATACGTTTCACTTGAAGAAAAAGCTGAGGCAGATCCAGAACCTGTTGGATAGACCAGTGTTTCCCAATCCTGGTTCTCAAGGTACATTGTCCTACATATTTTAGAGGTTTCCTTGCTTTAATGTGCCTGATTCAGCTGATTGCGGTTGAACAAACGCCTGTTAATCAGTCATCAATTGAAATCAGCTGGGCTGAAGGAAGGAAATACCTAAAATATGCAGGGCAGTGTGCCTTGAGAACCAGGGTTGGGAGACACTGGGATAGATTAATACATCCTTTCTGATCTGAAAACATCTTGGCATCCCCCAGAATAAGTTACCAGGGTATCACCTGGACCCCTGACCCCTGCCACTTGATCTCAGATCAGTGAAAGACAATAGGTGGATAGAAGTTCTGTGCCATCGTCATGGCGAACACTGAAAAAAAAAACCTTTTTTTTTTTTTTTGACTCAGCAGCTGAGCATGAAACTTTAAAAATGCACCTTCACTGCCAGCAGCCCTCTGGGAGGATGTTTGTGCATGACTTCAACGGTGACTTCAGTTCTGACGAACTTCTGCGCGACATCCCACGGGGGCAGCTGGGGAACTCCAATAAATAATCACGACAGCTCCAGACCCAGACACACACACACCTGCAGAGTCATTTTATCCCCCAACTATTCATGCAGCACGTAGTGTATGCAAACTCACAGCTTTTACACAACCGCACAATGAAACGACTGGCATGGAAATAGTGAACTCCATAACTTTCTTCTTTGGGAATGGTCATAAATTATCTATTTCCCTCGTCATTTGTTGAAACTCTCCAGCTAAACTAAGTTAGACTTCAATTATTAAAGGATTCAAAGTGGAAAAGTAGCATGCTGGTGTTTAATGGAGGGATTGCAGAAGTTGATGCAGGTCCTGCTGGTGCTGATGTTTACATCCCAGCTGCAAGAGCAACAATGTGGGATTTAGTGCTTTTGCAAACACAACAACACTCCAAAGTAGGCATTGTTCAGGTTTCTCTCCTCCACCGCTTGATTCTGATTTGAAGAAGAGAGGGAGACGGAGAGAACAGGAGGTGGGGGTGGAGGAGTGGTGATTGAGCGCAAAAGGGGGCAGGACTTTTCCTCCCCGGGTCCTATTAAGAGCAAACTTTGTGTTTTTGTTCTCCCAAGTTCAGCTCAGTCCTCTTCCAAGCTGCGCAGAGTTCCTTTCCACCGCTCTGTTTCCCTCTCCTTTTCCCACTTCTTCTTCAATGGTTTTGTTTTCTCGCCTGTTGGTCACTGCTGTGCGCCTTGTGCACGGGGGATCCGGACACGGAGAGAGGAGGAGGATGCGCTTTACGCATGGACAACAGCAGCCACCTAAAGTTGTCCCTTTCAGCCACTGCGGGGATGTTTTAGCGGAGATCTAAATGTTTTTCGGGTTGGAGTGAACAATGCCGCGGCTCCTTGGCGCTCTGACCGGGAGCATGCTCTGGTTTCGGCTGCTGCTGCAACTGCTGTGCGTCGTGGAGTTTGGAGCCGGGGTGTCTACCTTCCAGGGGTTCTATCTTCCACCTGCGAGCGGCTCGCTGCACACACCTGCCCGGAGGACGGACGGGGTGGTGCGGACCATCGATCGGATTTACAACGGTGGAGGGAAGGTGGGCTACCTGGTGTACCTGGATGGGAGGCGCTTTCAGCTGGACATGGAGCGGGATGAGTCGGTGCTGTCGCATCACTTCAGCCCTCAGTATGCGCTCGCGATGACGGGACAGAGTCCCGCGCCTCTGCAGCGGGAGTGCGCGTACCGCGGAACGGTGAACTCCAACCCGGAGTCTCTCGCCGTCCTCAGCCTCTGCGGCGGAGGTCTGGAGGGTTTCTTCGCCGTCAACCACTCGCGCTACACCATCACTCCCATCATCCGGGCGAAGGGACACGAGCACGACACGCGCGCCTTGCACGACCGGGATGCGGAGAGCGCGCTCCACGTGTTCACGCGCGAGAGCTTCAGCTTCGAGGCTCTGAGCGAGGGGCGCGAGAGCTGCGGCACGCGCGACGGGAAGCGAGGGCGCAGGGATGCGGCGGAAAGACGGCGGCACCGAGGTCGCGGGAAGGGGAGACGGGACGGAGAAGAGGGACACGGCGCGCGAGGGAGGAGATGGTGGAGCCGCCTCGTCAAAGAGCCCGGCGCGCGGCGCAAGAGGTCGGTGTCCCGCGCCAGGCACGTGGAGCTGCTCCTGGTGGCGGACGACTCCATGACCAAGAAGTACGGCAGGGACTTGAACCACTACTTGCTCACACTGGCATCCATCGCGTCCAAGCTGTACGGACACGCCAGCATCGAGAACCCCATCCGGCTGTCCGTGGTGAAGGTCATCACGGTGTCGGAGAAAGAGAAGGGACTGGAGGTGACCAAGAACGCGGCGGCGACGCTCAAGAGCTTCTGCAAGTGGCAGAACCAGCAGAACCCGCTAGACGACGACCACCAGCATCACCACGACGCAGCCATCCTCTTCACTAGGCAGGTAAACAAACTCCGCCCGCACCGCGCCTTTTACCCACGACCACCTGTTTGTTCCGCTTTGGTAGGAGAAGCTTTGCGCCATCGTGTGATGACAACTGCGTGAAACGGCATCACCGTTGCATCTGAATGTCAATAGTTCAATAAAGGAACCCACCAGGTAAAACTATGGAGGTCCAACAGTTCCACAATGTTATTATTAAAAAATAACACATAAATTGAATTGGAAACAAATACACAATTAAATGTGGAAACAGAAAGTCAGTAAATGTTAAGTGGTCGTGTGCAGCAACATATAAATGTGTTACAATATGTGTCAGCTTAAGCTTAGCCTTCAGCAGGTAGCCGGCTTCTTACACTCACTGCAGTTATCATTCTAAACAGTAGATGTCACTGGAGAGGAAAATGGATTCACTTTGTCATTTACTCTCCTAATTGGAAAGCTGCTGATGATAAATTACAAAAATTGTGATGTTTGTGACCATTTCTCCACAGAGAGAAGAAACCTTGGGTGAAACAGAAAGGCATGAAGTGACGTCGTTTGTTTTTATATTGAGAGTTTGCCTGATGTCAGTGGGACTGATTTATTATATGTCACCCTAGTGAATTATATTAAGTAACATTGGCAAGTACATGTACATGTATGGAAACACAATCATGCCACAATTTA